CCGGGGGCGGGCGGGGCCGGGGGCGGGCTCGTCCCGGGTGGGGAGCCCGGCACAGAGAGGGACGCTCCTGCCCCGCCCGCAGGGCCCCCCAATATTAAGGCCGTGAAGAAGTCGGAGCACGCCACCGAGGGGGAGACGGTCGTGCTGGCCTGCAAGTCGGACTCGTCCCCGCCGGTCACCAGCTGGGTGTGGTACAAGCTGAGCGAGTCCGGGGACCAGGTGAGGGGATGCCCGCGGACAGGGGACGGGCCGGGCCCCCCGCCCGGTCCTACAGGGTCCGCCCGCCCGCCCGCAGGTCATCGCCAACGACTCCCAGGGCAGGTTCCTGGTGGTGGACTCGGGGACCAGGACAGAGCTGCGCATCTCTGACCTGGACCAGGAGGTGGACCCCGGCCAGTACGCCTGCAACGGCACGAGTGCGGCCGGCAGCGGCCAGGCCGTTATCTCTCTGCGCGTGCGCGACCGCTTCGCCGCGCTCTGGCCCTTCCTGGGCATCGTGGCCGAGGTCCTCGTGCTGGTCACCATCATCTTCATCTATGAGAAGCGGCGGAAGCCGGACGAGGTCCTGGACGGTGAGCTCGAGCCCGCGCTCCCGGCCTCATCCCGGGGTGGGGGCCCCAGACAGCTCTCAGGAGGTGCAAGTCCCAGGGCGGGGGCCGAGGGCAGGGGGACGGGCAGGACAGACTGCCGCGAGGTCCCGGTCCGGGGGCACTGCTGACGGTCTGTTTTTGTTTTGCACGCGGCTGTGTCTGACAGATGAGGACGCGGGCTCCGCTCCGCTGTAAGTCCTGGCCATGCAGGGGGTGGGCGGGCAGGGGGTCCCCGGGCGCGTGGTGGCACGGGGGATGGCTGTTTGTCCTCTGAGCACCGAGAGCCCCCCTCGTGACCCCAGGAAGAGCAGCGGGCACCACGTAAACGACAAAGACAAGAACGTGCGCCAGAGGAACGCCAGCTGAGCGGCGGGTGAGCCGCGGGGGGGAGGGGGCGGGGGGGGGCTCCTGCTCCGAGGGCAGTGGGCGGGCTGTGGGCGGGTGGGCCGGGCTCTGAGCGCCCCCTCCTTGCAGGCAGCCGAGGAGGAGTCCGCAGAGGCCGAGCCGAGTGCGTCGGGAGCCCCGTGTCCCCGTCCCCAGCTCCGCATCCACTTCTGAAAGGAAACGCGTCCGGCTCAGCCCACACACTCGCTCCTGTTTGAAGAGCCAAACCCGAGTTTCCCGCGTGTAGAGTTCAGTTCCCAGAGCCTTATTTTCCCACGGCAGCATCTCGTGGCCCAGGGAGCCTGAGTGCCCAGCGAGGCCTCGTCCCCGCCCCCACCCACCCCTCGTGTCCCCCTGTGTTTCCCTCCCGGCCCCTCCCACTGGGCCAGGCGGAGGGCAGGTTGGCCTTCCCCAGCTCCGGCCCGTCCACCTTCCGAGGCTGCGGCCGGGCAGGCCGGCGTCCAGTCACTGTCCTTTGCAGAAGGTCACAGGTCGGGCAGTGCGAGCATCCTGCCGACTGAAGCCAGAGCTTTCGGTCACGTGGTCGGTGCTGTGACCGGGTCGGCTCTGACCCCCAGCTGCCGGCCCCGCAGTGCCCCTCCTTGCCCCCTCACTGCACACCCCCTCACTGCATGCCCACCCGGGGTGAGGACCCTTCCCACGGTCCCCCTCCAGCTGGCCCAAGGCTTCTCTCCACACGTCCTGACTCACAATAAAGGCTGACCACCTCGTCCTCGCCTTGTCCTGTCTGCGCCAGGCCTGGGTCTCAGCGGGGGAGCTGGTGGGGCAGCTGGCGGGCGAAGCCCCTGAGGGAGGCTGGGTGCTGGGGGGCTGTTCCCAGGACGAAGGGTGAAGGGGGGAGTCCTGCAAGTGCCCCCGAGAAGGGCCTGGACGAGGCCCGGGCATCCCTGACGGGCCAGGCAGCCCCGCCCTCAGCCGTCCTCGCCCTGCCATCCTCGCCCTGCTGTCCTGGGCAGAAGGCTCCCCATGGCCGGGGTGGTCAGCGAGGGGCCGGGGCCTCATTCTGATGGAGCCCGGGAACGGTCCCGGAGTCTGTCAGGCCTGGGCGCGAGTGTGGGGGGGTGGGGGTGCCTGGAATCGGGGCCCGAGAGCCCCCAGGGCAGGGCCGCGTGGAGGAGGGAGGAGGGGGACAGACAGACTGCAGGGGGGCACTCTGGGGCAGGAGGTCACGGGCAGCCTCGTCAGGCACGCCCTCACCAAAGCCCGGCACCCAGCAGGAACCATTTAGGCCTCCCACCTGGTACAGGTGGGGTAACTGAGTCCCGGAGAGGGGAACAGGCATGTCCAGGGCGCCCCCTCTGTGAACTGCTGCTGGCGGGGCGGGAGGAGGTGGGTCTGGGGGGCGTGGGCAGCTCTGCCCCAGTGTCCAGAGCAGCCGGACGTCAGGTCACGAAGTCGGCAAACAATCCAGCCTCACAACCCGCAGAAGCCGCAGACGCCCGGCCCCTGGACGCGGTGGACCAGGGCGCCCTGCTGGCTGAGCAGACGCTGCAGCGGGGGCCCCGAGGCCCCAGCAGTCAGCTCCTGCGGGAGGGGGAGTCCTTTACAGGGCCCGGCGCCTGGTGTGTCCTGCACCCCACAGCCTGGGAGGAGCCAGGCCCTTCCCCAGCCGCCGCCAGAGGGCGCCACGCACACACCAGGGGGAGTGGGGGGACTTGTGGCCACGGGCGCCCCTCCCCACAGAGGGGCCTGGGGGCACCCGCCTGGCCCTGCGAGCCCCCAGCTCCCTGAGCCCCGGGTCCCGGGCGCCCACCCCTCCCCTCCCCTGGCGGGAGGATGCACGTCCTGCTCCTTCACTCGGCCACACTGACGGCGCCGATGGTTCACCGGGGCTGAGAGAGAAACAGACTCCCCAGGAACACTGCCAGGCGCCCTGGCCCGGCTCTGCCCCTCCCCGATGGCGGCCTCGACATCGGAGGGCGTGTGTGTGGCCTTCCCCTGCTGGGGTCTGTGTCCCTGCAGGAGGCGGGCCCCCCATCTTGCTTCCTGCGCCCTGGACCCCCAGGACCCAGCGGCTTGGGGCTCGGGCAGCGTGAGCGGCTGCACTGGGCTCATCGTCGGCAGCAGAGGGCCCTGGAGGTGGACAGCGGACGGCCGACCTGTGGTTGGTTCACCCGGGACCCTCCCCCCGAGGCACTCGGCTCACGCGTGCGGCCCTCCAGCCCTGCACGTGGAGAATCAAGCTGACGACAAAAGTACGGCCGCACGGCAGGTGGCTTCCTACATTCCTCAGCACTAGAATCCTTGTTCATCCCTCCATCCAGCACGCGTTAAATGGGCACCGGCAGTACGCAGCCCGTGCCACTGGGGAGTGTTCCAGGCGACAGCCCGCTGAACCCTGCCTCAGTTTCCCCAGGGGTGGGACGGAGGAGTCACAGGGTCCAGTGAGGTCATCTGGCAGGTGCCTGGGGTTCAGGAACCGGGGTCTCGGGTCCAGGCGGCCAAGGGCAGAGGGGCCCCACTGGGGGCCATCGGAGGAGCAAGGGCGCCTTCCCGGGGCCACTTGGAAACGCCCCATCTGCTCCTCTGGGCTGCCGGACAGGGCTGTCCGTCCCCTCCCTGGGCACACGGCGCTGGGCTGGGGCCCTGAGAGGCCAGGGCTGCAGTGAGGGCCCCGGGGGCCTCCCCGAGCCCAGCCCCGCCCCCACCACGGCACCCTAAGAACGCCTCCGCCTTACGTGGGGGCCTCCCCTGGAGGCAGAGGGCAGAGCTGAAACGGAGTGGGGCAGGGATGTGGGGGTGGTCACCCCGCCTGCCCCCACCCCGGGCCTGGGACGGTGGGCTCGGCAGGGAAAGGAAAATCCAGGTGGATCCAGGTCAGAACTGCAGACGCTGGGGAAACTGAGGCCCAGGGGACGGACGCTCTGCTGAAGGTCGCCCGGCTTCGGGGCCGGACACCAGGGCTCTGCCCTGCACAGTGGCGTTTGCGTGCCACACCCCTTCCCAAGCCGGCGGTAAACGGGGGCCCCGTCCCGCCCCCCGCGGCGGATGGCGTGTTCAGGATCTTCATGGCAGTGGGTCTTCTGGGCCCCTCGATGGTCCAGGCGGCCGAGAGCTGGCCTGGTCCTGCCTTCCTGGTCTGACACAATGCTCACCTGGAGGGTCCCCACCCTGCAGGCTCAGGGCTCTGCCAGGACCTGCCCGACTGAGGAGGAAACGGGGCTTCGGTGCCTCGGCTGGGGAGGCTGGGAGGTCGGGCCGGGCTTGCGGGCCCGTGTGGACAGGGTGGGAGGGTCAGTGCGGGAGGCCGTGCCTGGAGCCCAATGATGCTGAGGAAGAGTCGGGGGCAGGCCAGACGGTGGGAGGAATGAGGTGTCCTCCCAGAGGCCGTGGGGGGTGAAGAGCCGTTTTAGGCCACAGACCATTGTGAACTGACTCTGTTTTAACCCATCCACATGGTCCAGGCCCACCTGCCGTCTCTGGGTGCCCTCCTCTCCCCCACCCACCCCTGGGTTCTCAGTATCCCTTCTTCTCGCACAAGCCGGGCACCAGCCTGCCTCAGGGCCTTTGCACGGGCTGTGCCACCTGCCGGATGCTCTTCTGGCAAATGTCCGCAGGACACCGTCCCTCCCCACTTTCAGGTCTTCATGTCTCCTCCTCTGAGAGGCCTCCGGACTTCACCCCTAGCACCTCTCTCGTCCACTTCCCTGGCTCTGAGTCGTGTAGCTCTTACCATCTTCTAACGGATGACGTACCACCTACTAAACGTCACAGGTGCCATGCTGGTCATCTGTCTGTCTGTCTGCTCTGCCCAGGCCCACCAGGCGGGGGCCCGCTAGGTTCACTTCTGAATCCCAGGCCCCGGGGAAGTGCTAGTAAGTCCTTGTTGGATGAACGACTGGCCTGGGTGAGGGGAGAGTGGGTGGGAGAGATGGGGTGCAGCCTGTGGGTGGGCAGGAGTCCTCAGGACCGGGGACTAGGCCTCGAGGCTCAGAGTGGGCTGGGACCCCGTGTCCCCGAGTCCTCTGCCCCGAGGTCCAGGCCAGTCCCTGGGGGAGGAGCTGCCAGGCGCGAGGGGTCCTAAGGCTGGGCCGAGGGTCCGCCTCCCGCCCTCAGCCGCGAGTCCCGGGGCCCTGGCGGCGTGCCCGGAGCGACATCTTCCCGGGTGAGCATAAAAGGTCCCCCTTCAGCTGGAGCACACATCTGCCTGGGGCGGGCCCGGCCTGGTACAGACAGCGCTGCCGCCCAGCCTCTCGCCGCCGCGGGACAGACGGCGGCCCTGCGCCCATCTGGCTGCCAGTCTGGCCGAGGGCGGCATGGAGGTGGCCCTCTGGGAGGCCAGACCCGCCTGGTGGGGGCACCGAATCCCCAGGGCTGGGGGCAGCCTGTGTGGAGGGGTGGGAGGTGATCCCGCTCAGCCCCCATTATCCAGATGGGCCCATCCCTCAGTTGCTATTGAGCACCTACTGTGTGCACGGCCTCTCCGCCCTCACGGCCCGACACCTGGCGTGTGGAGGACCCAGCACCACAGAATGGGAAGTGTTGCGGCGGCTGGAGGGTCCCAGGAGAGGGGTTCCTCCCACAGTCCTCAAGGCCCCTGCTCTCTCCTCTGTCTCCATCACCCTCCTCTAGTGACACCTCCCTGGGGAGGTGACCGGGGCTAGGGACAGAGTCCCCCGTCACCTGACACCGAGAATCACCCCAAGCTGGCTCCTGCCCAGAAACAGGGCCTGAGGGGTCTTCCCAGAGCTGGGGGCCGAGGGGCCAGCCAGCGCCCGAGCCCAAGGGACAGAGAAATGTGGCAGCAGGCTCTGGGTCCCCCTGTCACTCCAGGCCCCTCCCCACTTTAAAGCCTACCAGCCTTGCAGGGGACCCCAGGCCCCCACTGTTTGGGGGTGGGGGTCCCGGGCACCCTTGGGGGGCTCTTCCTGTCGGCCTCAGTTTCCCCATATGCAGGTGGGGAGGGTGGGCGACCCTGGGACGTGGAGACTCGCACTGACCCCGCTCCGCCCCTCCCCACACAGGGCTTTTGTCCAGGGCCTTCAAGGGACAGAGCCAGCACTCCGGCGGCCTCTAAAAACGCCCTTTTATTATGGAAATACTCAAACCTATAGAAAAGAAGGAGGCCGGCGGGGGCGGCCCCGCGCCTCCAAGCCCGGCGTCAGCGCACCGCCCGCTGCGCCCTCCGGACCCAGGCGACGAGCGCGGGGACGGGCCCCTCGCCAAGGACGCGCGCAGAGGCCGGGCCCGCTGACCTTGCGCGCGTCCTTCCGCTTCGCGGGCCTCAGTTTCCCCTCGTGGGGCGAGGCTTGCGCGGGTCTCCGAGGCCCGGGCCGCGTGACCTTGGGCCGTCCCCGGCCCGGCCTCAGTTTCCCGGGCGCACGGGCGGGGCGGAGCGGGCGC